TTTCTTTCTTTTAAAGGGGCTTTTAATTTGTGACTGTGAATATCAGTTTTTTTTCCACTGCAAGGTGAGGATGCCTTAAGGAAAGCAGTTTCTTAGTTATGTCACAAGTCTATGAAGGAAAAGTAAGCAATTCAGCTCTCTTTGCTTTGGCTCAGTTACCCAAGTCTGTAAGTTACCACAAAGCTTCAAAACATGTGGGACTCCAGGAAAACGATGACATAGCTTTGTTAGTAGTGGGGATTGAAATTGAGTTGGCGATAAATTGGATGTCTTCTTTTAAAATTTTATTTTAAATAATTGATGAAAGCTCACTCTACTGAGATATGAGGAAAAAATTAATTCTGAAGGAAAATGAAACATCAGCCCTAGCATGTTTGGCTTAGTGGTTAGAGCATCTGCCGGGTCGGGGCGCATGCAGGAGGCAACCAATCCATGTGTCTCTCTCCCATCGATGTTTGTCTCTCTCTCCCTTCCACTTTCTTTGAAAAGCAATGGAAAAAATATCCTCAGGTGAGGATTAAAAAAGAAAGAAAATTAAACATCAGATTTTAATTTTATGAGTGAGATGTTTGTTTTCAAAAAGAATACATGTTTCACCTTGCCTTTTTAGAAAGAATTAATGCTCCTTAAAGACATCTGAAGCCCTTTGTGGATTGTGTTATACGAACAGGCATTTTAAGTCATTTTTATATTGATTTTTGTGGTATATTGTTTCATGTGCCTGTGCGTGCAGATGTGTGCCACCTTAGCTACAGCTATGCTGAATTGTCCTTGGGGAGTGTTGGTGGTTTTGCACGTTTCGTTGGGAGTGCCGTGGATGGACTGAGCCCTGAACAGGGGGAAACAATGCCACCAAAATAGATACAGTGCTTGTCTCTGTGGAGGTTTTATTCTAGCTGGGGAGATTTTAAATTAATCATGACAAGGGTGATACGGAAACATGGAACAGGAGAATTTGAGGAGGAGGTCAGGAAAAACAAAAAGGACAAATGTTTGAACCTAAAAGATGAGTTGTATGAATCTAGACAAGGGCTGTGGAGTAGGAATGGGGAGGAGATTTGAGAGAACATTTCCAGATGCACAGTCCCTTAGGCAGTACGAAGCCTAGTGGGTGGGTTCCAGGAGCCAGAAAAGAACAGGAAAGCCAAAGTAGAGAAACCAGAATGTGGCATGGATGAGCCAGGTTAGAGAGAAAGGTGTGGCCCTGAAGGTCATTATAAACTTTGGATCTTGTTCTAAGGCCATTGGGAAATCCCTGAATCAGAGTGTTAAGTACGGGAGTGACGTGATTTTATTTGTGATTTAGAGAAAACATCGGCTGCTGGATTGAGCATGGAGTTTGGGATGGGCAGAGTCCGTCTATAGGAGCTTAGATAAGTTCAGGACTTAGATGATGGTAGTTGGGTATTGATGATGCTTGTGGAATTGGAGAAGATGCAGTGTTTGAGACACGTGTGAGAGGTAGAATTGAGAGTTTGATGATTGATTTATTCCTTGTACCACATGATATAAAATAGGTGTTGGCAAACTTTAGCCCGTGGGCCAAATCTGATCCAATGCTGATTTCTATAAATAGGTTTATTGGAACACATTTTCTTTTTAATGTGTTCTTTATGGCTATTTTTGTGCTCCAACCACAATTAAATAGTTGCTAGAGGGCCCATAGGTCCCATAAATCCTAAGATATTTACTCTCTGGCCTTTTACCGAAAAGGTTTGCCAACCTCTAGTATATTAAGTACTTAGTATGCATCAGATGCTGTGCTATGGTAGGATTTGGGGTCCTGAAAAAAGTGGACATAGGCCTATACTTAGTTTGTCATGGTTGGAGAGAGAGGCAAAGTCACCTAAACAAATAAATATATAAATCACAACTGGATAAGGACAGTGGAGGAAAAGTGCAGGCTGTTAGAGGTTTTTTGAGGGAATATAAGAGCATAAATGATCCTTTTATTAGGTAAGAGGCAGTAGTAGAAATGTCAGGTGCCATGGACTGAAAGGTGGTGCGGGGTTCACTTGGTCACTCCAATGGTGGCCCACAAAACTGGAATTATGTGAGTCAAACACCTGTTTGGTGCTCTGCTTCTACTCTCACCCCTTCTTATACACAGTCTCTCTTTAATTGCAGGGAGGATGCCTACTGAGACCTTAAACCCTGGCTCTGGTGTCATGGTGAGGGGCTGGAGAGTCGGGATGGTGGGGTAGATAATTAGGTATCCTAAGCTCTATCCCCTCTCTCCTCCTCGACATCAGTGAGGAAGAAAGGGGAGGGGAAGTGTGGAGCATTTTCTGCCCTGCTCCAGGAGACCTGGCGACCTCTTTTAGTGCATGTCCTCTGGAGGGAAGTGGCCTTGGAGGAGGGTCTCTGTGCCTGATTCTGGAGTCTGACTGCAGAGTGGGGCTTGTTTAGAGCTGACCATAGAGCTCCCCTAGGACCATCCTTGCTCTCCCTTCTGAGACCTACCATAAACACATGGCTGTAGTAATTTAAGTTTAAATGAATTAAAATCCAATAAAATTTAAAAACTCAGTTTTTCAGTTGTCGGAGCCACATTTCTTAAGTGCTCAGTAGCCACTTGTGCTGGTGGCTACCCTTTTGGCAAATGCAGACATAGAACATTCCTATCATCCCGGAGAGCTCTACTGGACATTGCTGCACTAGAGAATTCTGAAATTACAAGGCCATAAAACTTTTCACTTGTAACAGTAGTTCTATTTTAACAGGAGTAAACGGTAACTAAATACTTATATAATTCTTGGAGGGGAACCTAGGGATGGCACGAAAATGAGGCTATCAAACCCAGACTTCTGGTGCCTTAAATAAGGAGTTTAGGAAAAACTCTCTAAGCTCAGAAGTATAGGCTCTGCTATCACTGGTCAGTGAAGTGACAGAGAGAGTCAAAACTTATACTTTCGGATTTGTCCAAATGTTAAAGTAAATATTTTTAGCATGGTGGGCCATGTGATCTCTGTTGCAGCAATTGCTCAATTCTGCCTTCATAGCAAAAAGCACCCATGGAGATAGGTAAACAATTGGGCATGGTTGTGTGCCAATAACACTTTTTTTGGCCAATAAAACTTTATTTACAAAAACAAGTGGCAGGTGGGCTTTGCTGAGCCCTGGAATGGAGAGAGTTCCCTGTCTGAATGTTCTTGTGCTGGGTTTCCCTTCCCCAGTGATAACAAGTTGTCCTGCAGAATGGTGGGGGTGGGTGGTCCTTGCTGAGCCAGAATACCTGTGCTGTCATAGGAATCAGTCACCTTTGAGGATGTGGCAGTGGGGCTCATCCAGGAGTGGGCATTGCTGGATGGTGCACGGAGGAACCTGTGCAGATATGGAATGCTGGACAACTGTAGGACCCTGGCTCCTAGGGGTAAGGCTGGCAGCAGATGCTTAAGCACCTGCTACATGACAACAGAGATGTGGTGTGGGCTTTGTGGTGTTTACTATTTATTGGTTTCTGCAGGATAACAGCTCTGTCCGTTGCATTGACTTAATTTTTTCCATAGTCAGGACTTATGCAGGTCTCCTTGATGTTGGCCTTGGGCTTTGGGGCTTAGAGAACCTCAGCCCCACGGGGCAGATTGGAGGGTGTTTGTGGTTTGGGTCCTTGTTAAAGAGCTTCACTGAGTTCATTAGAAATTGAGTGTGATCATTTTGCTACCATTATGTTCGTTCAGCGTCTTGAGCTGAAGTCCATGTGGAAGCTGGGTGGCTGGTGGAGAAGCCTTTGTTTTCCTCTGCAAGCCCTCCCTCAGCATGTGTGTTTTTCTCCATGAGCAGGGACAGCACCATGCAAACCCAGGCTTGCCTCCCAGGTGGGACCAAGAGAAGAGCTGAGGGCAGCAGAGCGAGGCATCCTCTGTGCCGGGGGTGTGGGTGAGTACCGGGGGATGCAGAAATCTCGTGACCCACTCCATTAAGGGGGTGGTGTGCTGGAAAGTATCATTCCTGTCACTTGCAAATTCCATCTACTTTGCTTACTGATGCTTTCTTCCCTTTCAGTACCTCTCCAAGTTCAGGGTCAATATTTTTTAAAAACCTATTTTTTTCTTTTAATTTCATCCACTATTTCTTTCTGAAAAAAGTTTGTTTTTTTTTGGTTCCAATTCATTTTAGACTGGGAATCTCAACTTAAACCCAAAGAGTCTACTCCTGTGCAGGATAATTTGGAGGGAAATTCATCCCATGATTTGCAAATGGTAAGATCCTTTATTCTCTCTCATTGGAGAAGTTGAGGAATACGTGAGTTGGAAATGCACTGCAGGGCCAGGGAGACATTTCAGCCAGGGCACTTCCTCAAGCCCCTCCCTCAACCCCTAGTGTCTGAGGGGACACTGTGACTATGACTATGACTATTCACATATTCTGTGACTGAATAATTTGGGTAAATTCCACTTGCTGCTCAAGACTTTCTTCCTAGATGATTCCCCCAAGTAAACATTTCCATCAATGTGAGCCAGACATTGATTGTATGAAATGTGATTTATTCTGCAACAATAATGAGAAACATGCTGTCTGTTAGGGAAGCTCCAGGACAGTTACGAATGTGAGAAAGCCTGGCGCCCACAGTGTCCTAAAAGAACTGGAACTGTGTTAACAAGGTGCACCTCTTAAAATGCTGAAAATGCGCCTCTGGTGGGAGCAGCCCTGGGTGGGCACAGATACTGGCGAGCTTTTCATCATCATTTACCCCTTGTCAGGAGCAAACTCTGCCTAGAGAGAAGGCATTGGATGACTTCACTGCGGTGGGAAAGGCTTTTGGACATGAACAAGAGAACCCACAGGAGAGAGGGCCACACTGATTATAAAGAACGTAGGAAAGCTGTCGGGGATCCCTCCCTGCTTAGGAGACAAGTTGACACCCCAGACTGTAAACAAGCCCTTTTCAAAGTGGGGAGAACCTTCAGAACCAGCTTGTACATTACAGTGTATGAGAAGGTACACACAGAGCCCTTCCATCCCCACTTTGGCTCTGAGTTCCTGCTTTCCCAAACTGCAGGAGCTTTCAAAGTTTGAGTTCCCATTCTTGGGGATGTTGAGGGTTAGGGTTTGGGTAGAGGACACACAGAGCCAGCTTCACCCCTGGACTGGGCGTGCTTGTCCCAGAGCCAATGAAATCTCTGGGTTCTCTCAATCTGCACACCTTTCTCTCAGGTATGGATGGTGTTGGCCTCAGGGAATCAGAGATGCTGACCCGGTGGGTGGGGTGGCATAGCTTGGGTTATAGAGACCTCTGTCCTGTTCCTTTGCCCTGAGCATGGGGAGCTTCTCCCTGCACAGCCTAGTGTGAGCTGCGGGGCAGCAAAACCCTCACCCTGCACAGCCTGCAACAAACCCCAGGGCAGCTGAGACCCACTTCTCCCCAGATCCTCAATGTCCTTGGTTTACATTCTTGTTTAGGTAGAGGATGTTTTCCAGTAGCTGCTTGGGAAAGGGTGTGTGGTTTTTGAGAACCTGAGATCTGCAAATGTGTTATTGCAGCTGCTGGATTGCAGGGGCCTCACCTGACATGACTGGTGTAGTAACCACCTTACAGAGCATTCTGTGTGTCATAGAGCTCTCAATTGATGTTTGTTGAATGAAGGAATGAATAGATAGGTGCTGCTGAAGGCATCTCCAGGCCCCTACCGTCCCCATATTTTGATCAGCAGATGGACCGTGGGAAGGACAGGTCCTGATGGACAGGTCCTCCCTGGTTTCTGTGAATCTTTCTTCTCAGCATGGTGCTCAAGCACCTTCCACAGAGCTCCAGTCTGAGTCAGTAGTGAGCTAGTGAGCACCGGGTGTGGGAGAAGAGGAGTCTCTCCTGCTGCATCTGAGTCCCAGGAAACAGGCGGTCACAGAATGTTGTAAGTGGGCGGAGGAGATCCACTTTCAGACACATGTGTTGAGAAGTTGAGCAGTTCATCCCTGAAGACACAACCCGCAAGTAGTTGAGCTGGATTTGGAGCTGGGTATCAAATCCAGGCATAACTCCTGAGACTACCATCCCAGCCACCAGGATATACTATTTGAGGTCACACAACCCACCACTTGGTTGATGGTGCTGACTCTTCAGCTAGCCCTTCCAGGCCATTCCTTTGTCACTGAGCCTTGTCCCAGTCACTGAGGCCTCCCTGTCATGGAGTAAGTACTGGTGGCCAGGGACAGACTGAGGCCTTGTAGCCTCTCTGCCATGGTCAGCTAGGACAGTGGAGGGCAGGCACATAGAGAGCTGGGAATTGCTTTTAGTAGAATCCTAAAGGAAACTAAGAAAGGGTGTCTCCAGGCTCAGTCTTCCCACGCTGCCACAAATGAATCCATAGTGACTACACCAGCAGTGCTGTCAGTATGTGTTGGACAAATAGACTAAACTAAAAACCTTTTCAAGAAGAGTGGTGTGTGTCAAAATTATTTCGATGAAGACGTTTGTCTCAAAATATACCCATGGGGATTTGATTTATGGAGGTGAAAGATGACACGGAGAGGCCAATGCCACAGACGATTTTTTTGACTTACACTTCTTCAGAGGAGAGGGCAATATAAATGGGATTGGTGAGTTTGAATAATTCTGGGGGCCTTCGGCACAGGGGCTGTCCCTGGTTGTCTGGTACCTGGTCTGGATGATTTAGGATGGGGGAGTGTTGGCTTGTGTGAGAGGTGGCTAAGGAAGTGGTTCTGGGTGGCAGGGGAGACGTAAACAACTGTGGCCAGTAGTTTGGCCCTATGATTGATGGGTGCCAAATAGATAAACACAGAATCTAAGAAAAAACAGACCATGGTTCATACTCAGAACCAAGGGCTTCCAACCTTTCTGTGGTTAAACATCCTGTAATGCTTCTGAGGGCTTGTGGCCTAAGTTCTTGCCAAGGCCCCCAGAACTAGAAAGGGCTCAGATTTGTCATGATCTGCTCTCAGAGACCCTTGTGGTGGTTGGTGCCCTCAGTGGAATATAAAAGTCATCAGGTCTGATACTGCCAGTCCCATGTGCCCCACCTCCTGACTTCACTATCCCTAAACCGAGAGTCTCTGAGACCGAGAACAACCTCAGCTACCTCTGTCCTGCTCAGCATTCTCCATGCCTTTTTTTAGGGACTGGGGCTGGATCTGAAGATGCAGATCTGGCCCATGATGGGAGCAAGGGGGATACTTTCAACTCCAGAGGACCAGCCAGCTCTTTGGGAGTCGCCTTGGCCTTCTGGATACACAGTAAGCCTGGGGGGTGGTTTGCTGCGGGGGCCTCAGCCAGTAAGGCCAGGGTTCAGGATTTCTGTAAATGAAGAGGCCAGAGGGGAGGAAGGCATCTAGCACCCACTGTTGGAAACTGGGAACATGCTGGAGACCCAGGCTTAGCTCCTGGTAAGAACTGAACAGGCCCTAGCATTTCTGCATGAAGGCAAACCTTGAAGATGGCAGGTGGTAGGGGCTGGCGCTCTGGTCTTGCCTTTCTTGGTTCAGCCTTTCTTCCTCTGATCTTTCCACCATTACACCTACCCTTTCCATGGTCAGGAATCCTATAGGAATGAGCAGGTCCTGTGATCTGAGGGCTGGGCGAGGAGTGTCCAGGCTGGTGACTAAGAGTATCAGAGAGGGACACTTTAAGGCGTGCCCTGCCTTGAGGAGAAGGGACCTCCTACCTACCCCTGCCCATCACCTGCCCTGAGATACTTGTGCACTTACTTCCCTTCCACCACCAAGTCCTTCGAGCTTTTCCGCGAAACTATAACCTACCTCTGACTGCTCCTCCTGTCCTCGCTGCCACCACTCTGCCTGGAGTTACCAGGAACTGCTTCTGACAGGTCTTGCTTCCACTGGCCCCACCCTGGACATGGAGGCCAGCAGCAGCCCTTAGAAGCGCAAGTCAGGTCCGATACCTTTCCCAAGAGAGCAGCCGCCAGTAGAGGACATTTCAAATCCTTTTCTCCCACAACAGGGCTTTCTTCCTAACTCCCCTCATTTGCATGGGTTCATCCCACACCCTTCTACCCATTAACCTGCTGGCACCTACTACTCACTTTGCTCAAGCGTTTCCTTCATAGCTGGAGGCTGCTCAGAGGAGGCCTCCTCCACTGGGGCCCCTTTTCTCTATCCTTCTTGGAGTTGCAGTTCTATCACAGTGGTAGCCTTGTCTTGAAGAATTGGGTAATCAGGGTATGTTCTTTTATCAGTATGTTCCTCAAATAAGGACCAGTCATGCAAATTCAGTCAGAGTGAGCAGGTGTGAACGGATCCCCGTGATCACCACGTGGCTGTAATCTGTCCCTGTCCAGGGGCTGAAAGCAGCTGTGCAGATTAAGAGGGTGCCCTCGCCGGAGCCTGCACTGGGCATTCCTGACTCCTGGGAGGCCAAGGATTCTGGTGAGTAAGTACCAGGTGGAATCACAGTCAGAGGGTCCGGCTGTCCTGTGGGAACTTGCATCTCCAGCCTTCATTTCCTCTGCCGGCAGCCATTGCCCTGCACCAACAGGAGAGAATTCATAAAGGCCTCTCATTATCTGTGTTCAAGGGGAAAGACACCTTCACAGTCCTCAGATTTTTGTTGTTGTTGTTGTCTCAGATCTTTCTGTTATGAAAGAACAGACCTTAGTGTCAACAATAAAAAAATAAATCTCTTTAACCAAAGGAGCTATTGTAATAAAACAGTTGCTATAACCCTGGCCAGGTGGCTTGGTTGGAGTGTTGTCCTGTATGTCAAAATGTTGTGGGTTTGATCCCTGGTGGGCATGTACGGGAGGCAACTGATCGATATTTCTCTCTCTCAAACATATCCTTGGGTGAGGATTAAAAAAGTTGATATATGTGTATATATATATATATATATTAAAAAAAGGATGAGCAGGCCCACTCAGCCGTGGCGAGGCCAGTCCTCTCTGGGGGACTACACTCTTCACTACACAGTATGTAAAAGGCACATTTCCTGAGAAGCAGGGAAAATCTGGAGGACAGATAACAGCTTAACTTCAATTGCAAGCACTGGATTACATCATAATTACTGTATCAGATAGCTTGGCCAGATATTTTACTGTTTGGAAAGAGGATTTCAGGCCTAGGAACAGCTTCTGTAAAATCTCTCAACAGGGAGAGAGCCTGCTATGCTCAGGGGCCCATGGAAGGCTTTGGAAGTGGGCAGAGGGAAGTGGAGAGAGTAGCGTGAGATGATGAGCGTGAGTGCACTCCAGATCATTCAGGGCCTGGAAGTGTGGAAAAAGAACCCTGGCCTATGTCCTAAGGCTAATGGGAGCTAAGGACATGTTTAGGTGAATGGTACCATGCACCTGTGGTTCTAACAACCCCTAGCACCTGGGAGGATGATGGGTTTCAGGGAAGTTATTAGTGGTAGTTAAGGTAGTTAGGAATGGAATGTTGGCAACCTAGACTTGGGGTGAGTGTGGAATTGGTGTGGCGGGGGTCCTTAAAACCACTCCCAGGTTTGGTGACTCACTAGGAGGTCTCATAGGGCCCAGACTACAGTTGTATGTGTGGCTATGGTTTATTACAGGGAAAGGATACAAAGCAAAATTGGCCAAGGGAAAAGGTACATGGGGCGAAGTCTGGAGGAAACCAGGCACAAGCTTCTAGACTCCTCTCCCAGTAGAATCACATGGGATGCACTTAATTCTCTGCAGTGAGCTGGGGCAACATGTGTGAAGTGTTGTCTGCCAGGGAGGCTCATGAGAGACTCAGCACCCAGGGTTTTCACTCGGGGCTGGGCATGTAGACACCCTCTGCCCAGAATGTACCTATATTCCAGACTCCTAGAAGGAAAGCTGGCATTCAGCACAAACCACATTGTACAAACAATTTAAGCAGAGTTAACTCGTCTTATCAGTTAGGGTAGTGAGAACCTTCTTGAAATGCAAGTTTCCAGATCCCAGCCAAGGTCCATCCTTGCCATCAGTCCTTGGTAAGGAGCCTGCTGTGTTAACTCTTACCTGCATGGTAGGTAAGCGTGGAGCATTCATTCTAAGGCACATAGAAGGTCAAGTTGAGACAATTTGGTGAGTTGTGTGTACATTCATTTACCAGATGATCCACAGCATTTATTTGCTAAGCACTGTGCGGGAGACAGGGTTGTGACATCTAAGTCACGAGGGAATGACATTTAAGTGGATCTAAGAGGGAGAAAGGTGTAATGTGGCATTAGCCATGGTGAGAACAAGATTAGAGGAAAGGAAATGGGTGGGTG